AGGCGGAGGAGGAGGAGGTGTTGCTGGCTGGTGTAGGTAGAAAGAGGGAGATCGATACGATACGAAGTCTTTAGTTAAGAGGTGAAAGAAGATTATTAGGAATTGAAGGAAAAGTGGTGAAACTGAAATACAGTAGGAGTAGAAAGAATCTGGGCTCAACCAGATCGCTTCATCTTTCTTATTGGTGTTTTGTCTTTGTTCTGCTCCCTTGGGTCGTCAGACCTTTGTATTAATATTGGTTTATTTATATAATGCTGCTTATTATTATTATTTTTATTATTGTTGGAGTTAGTGAGCCCGCCCAGGTCCTTGTGTAACTGGGAGGGTAGTCACATTTTTTTTTTTGAGGTGTTAGTTAAGTGTTAGTTGTGTTAGTCTAAGGGTACACTGTATGGAGAGGCCTGCCAGGTTCTTAGTGGAGCTGGTTGGTCACTCTCATCTTTATTCCTCTAGTAATGTTTTATGTAGAAATGTGTATATTGAGGCAGGAGGTGGTTCAATTACTTCTTCCTGGCTGATATAGCTGGGAGGGTAATCACATTATTATTATTAATATTATTATTTTATTTATTTTTTATTTATTTTTTTTTTTGAGTTAGTGAGCCCGCCCAGGTCCTTGTGTAGCTGGGAGGGTAGTCACATTTTTATTTATTTATTTTTTTTTTTTTACTAAGATGTTAGTTCAATGTTAAATGTTAAATGTTAAATGTTAAATATTAGTTATGTTAGTCTAAAGGTACGCTGTATGGAGAGGCCTGCCAGGTTCTTGTGGAGCTGGTAGGTCACTCTCATCTTTTATTCTCTCTATTAATGTTTTATATGTATATTGGGGCAGGAGATGGTTCAATTACTTTCTTCCTGGCTGATTTAAACCAACTGTGTTCTTGGAATTCTTCGTTGTCTATATTATTTATCCAGTTTTGATATGTTTCTGTGTTAAGTTCAGTCACTTTTTTCCAAATATTTACAGCTTTGTTGTGTATATCTACATTGATTGCTAAGAGGTTTGCTCTCTTGTGTAGCTGTTCATTATTGATGTGGTCTGTATATTTTATGTTATATATAAATCTGAGGGCTATATTTTGTACTGTTTGTAACCTTTTAATGCACGTTTTACTAAGGGTGTTCAATGGGATGGGTGGGTAGTCCATAATTGATTTAACAAGGGCAATATAAATCTTTCTTTTGTTATTAATGCTAAGGTTCTTAAAGCGTTTTATTTTTGATAATCTTATTCTTGCCTGTCGTTCTTTATCTTTTAAGTATGTTATATATCCTCTTTTTGTTAGTTTTAATCCAAGCATCCTACCTTCAGTGTCGTATGGGTATAGTTCCTGGTCGACTATTACTGGACTTGTTTGAATCTTGGCTATTGGTATTATCTTGAATTTGTTCTTATTTGTCCTGATTTTCCATTTTTTCTCAAAATCATTTATGTTTTTTATCGCTCTTACCGTGTAGAGTGCCATAAATTGAGTTGATTTTCCTGGGTATGATACTATTTGAGTAATATCATCAGCAAACATTACATATTCGCTAAAGGGGGTAGGTTGAGGTGTGTCTGAAGTATAAATTGTATATAGTGTTGGAGAAAGGCATCCTCCTTGAGGTACTCCACTCTCAAGATTAAACATAGTTCCCAAAAGTTTCCAATTTGAATTTGTGCTCTCCTATCATCTAAATAGTTACACAATATTCTTAGCAAGTATTCGTTAAGTCCCAGTTTTAATATTTTATATTTCAAGCCTAAATGCCAAACTTTATCAAAAGCCTTAGAAACATCCCTTAAAATTATATTGATCTGGTTACCCTTGCTTTTTTCTATTGCAATTATTTCCGTTATTGTAGCTATTGCAGTTAGGGTATTTCTATTGGGCATAAATCCATGTTGTCTGTTGTTAGTTTTCCCATGTTGTGTTAAAAAGGTTATAAGTCTTGAATTTAATATTTTTTCCAATAGTTTCCCGGTAATTTCTAATAAAGATATTGGCCTGTAGTTTAATATTTCCTTATTGTCCTTACCCTCCTTAGGAATAAATATCATTTTAGCATATTTTAGTTTGTCTGGAAAGTAACCAGTTATTAAGCATGCGTTATAAATGTTTAATAGTGTAATTAAAATGTTTTCAGGTAGATTCATGATCATATTTCGTGTAATACCTGTGAGCCCAGGGGCTTTTTCCTTAAATTTCCTCAGACAGTGCATCATTTCTCCCATGGTTATTATTTGATTATTAGGTAATAAGTTATAGTCTATATATTGCCTTGGGGTGATTCTATGTATTTGTCTTCCCATTTCTTCTTCTATCCTTTCTTCGTGTTCACTATCAAAATCTTCATTTTCCTCATCTGATATTTTAAAAACTTTTACCCATTCCCTTTTGAATGCTGACTCTTGTTCATTTTCCTCGTGCAATTTTGTTCCATTTTGGTCTTTAATGTATGGTGTTTTTTGCTTGTTGTGCCCCATCATCTTGTTTATGGAAGTCCAAAATGTTTTTGTGTCTTTAGTCATGTCAGCCGCCATTATAATATCATTCCATTTTTTATTGTTTGCTTCCTTACATGCGTCTCTTAATTTTATCTGTAGTGCTATCTGTGTCGTATATAGCCATCTGTTACTGCCGTGTCTTTCCATATACCTGTTTATTTCATTGTAATAGGTCTGGATTAATTTAACTTCTTCTGGTAGTCTGTTGTTGGGTAATGTTCTAAAGTGTGAAGTAGGAGTGTGTTTGGTTATAGATGTTTTATTGCTGAGTGCAGTCTGTCCATTTCTGAGTCTATATCTTCTGTTGTTTTCCTTGTAGGTTAATCGAGTGGTGATTACTTAAGTCGTCTTTGAAGCTGTCCCAGTCTGTTTTACTCATTTTCAGTCTTTTTTTATTGGTATCTGTATGGGGCTTGTTGACAGTGTTAGTATAATTGGCAGATGGTCACTGCCTGTAAGAGGTCCCTGTATTATATGGTAATTGAAAAAGGCTTTGTTGTTGGTAAAAATTTTGTCTGGTGTCGATTGTGTATTGTGATTTCTCCAGGTTGGAAAGTTAGGACCCAGATGATTGATTTTCCCTAAATTTATTAATTGATTAAGGGCGTTTCCCACGACGTTATTATTTGTATTGTCAAAAATCCTATGTCTGGCGTTAAAGTCTCCTAAGATGTACATCGGATGACTATTGTTAGCCAATTTTAATAGGTCTTCTATAGGTAAGTAGGGTCGTCTCGGTGGGAGATAAGTAGTAGCAATAATTACGTCTCCTTGAGTTGTATTTATTTTTATTGCTAGAAATTCATCCTGGAAGTCATCAATTAGTTTAAATTTTAAGTTTCTTTTAACCGCTATCGCTACTCCGTCATTTTTCTCGCCCGATTTATTTCTTTGGTTTACATAATAGTTAAAGAGTTTTATGTTGTTGTTTTCTGTCTCACCGTGACTGTTTATTAGTATAATGTCAGGGTCAATTTCTTGATATATATTACTTAGGTTAATTCTCTCGGTCTTCCAGTTTCTTACGTTGTGTTGTATTATTCTTAAAGTTCTTACTGTTTGTCTATTGTCCATTATTTCTTATACTTGGATTGTGACTGTTGAAGTGGAGACCTATCATCCTGTTTCCCGCTTCTGACTCTTCCTGGTTGACTGACCACGAGGCACACACTGTGGAATCTGCGGGGTCGGCTATGCAGAGACAAACAGCGTTTGTAGGGGAGAAATCCACTACAATCTAATTTCAGTATCAGCTGGAAACTCAGGGCATCATCAAGGACGATTTCAGGGATTCGTCACTTCTACTGGCAGACTCTACTCTAACTTGATTTTTTACTACCAGTAAATACAGTTGAAGCTTTCAACATCACTCACAAAGGATCTTCAATGTTTCATCTGTAATCAGACATATTTAATTTAATGTAACATATAAGCATTCAGTTGCAATTTCAAATTTCATAACATGAGATGAGATACTTAGGAATATCAGAGTCACGATACTACTGTACTTGAGAGAAAATGGAGGACTCAGGCGTACTGAAGAGGTGAGAAAACGAACGTCTCTGCTGGGGGACCCAATAAAGAAGTTACAGCTTCATGTTTTATGGACTATTGAGCGTAATATGAATCGCCTGATTTTACGTAAACTAATATGTACGACCGTGGACAGTAAAATGGAATAATCATGGAAAATACAATTCTGATTTGTGAGGGAGTGAACCTTAGCATACCAACATTACACGCACCTCGAGTTGTTGAAGCAGAGTTATATAACATTTCAGCCTTTCTCAATCTCCTTAGTTGCCATATAATTGTTGATAGCCAGTGAATATACCAACCTAGACTACCCTCTTATAAACCTTAGCTATTTAAATGCTGAAATACGTGATGACATCCACATCTCTTTCTCTATACAGTTATCGTCTTTTGACGTTCATGTACAGTAGATCCCGAGTAAATTCAAAGCTGTTTTTCATATGCTCTGCATTTTATTCATTGTAATAAATGCTGTAGTGGAAAACCCAACAAAAGGACACTATTATTATATCTGCAGAACCTTAAGAAAATATTGTACCACAAAAACAAACTTTTCTGAAGTTATTACGGATAATAGAATAATTTGTGTTGTCATCCACGAGAAAACAGAGGCGTATAATAAAATGTAAAGTCACTTCCCCTGGTCTAGTGTGTTGTAGACACTGCCCCATGTGTGTTGTGGACACTGCATAATGTGTGTTGTGGACACTGCCCCTAGTTTGTTGAGGACGTTGCCCCTTACGAGTTATATCCTTACGTACCAGTAATCAGTACGTAGCAGCTGAACAAGTGAGAGTAATCAGTTGGTCATTATTTTGCATATATTTATTGTAATGTTCAACTTATTATGGATTTTTATATAATGAAATATCTTTCCTTGAAGTTATATATGTACTGTAAATAAATCAATTACAAGATATTTAAGGGAGGGGGTTTGCTATAATTGATGTACTTTGAAAATATGTTGGTATCTCTCGACTTCCACTCACTCTGCTACACCCAGCAAGGTAGTGACACCAGCCAGCGCCTATCATCCACAGTCCACCTAATTGTGTATGTACGGTACCGTGGGGTCACTTGCTGCCTGCTTCATAGTAACCTGAGTATGTACAGTACTTAAAAACGTTTTATAGAATTATTCATCAAATGAGGATGCTGTTAATTGCTTAGGTTTATATATTCTATCATGGGAATTGTAGCAGCTAAAAAATATATTGTATTTATTGGGTAAAGTTCTGCTTTAACTAGGACTATGCAGTTAACCAGGGATGATATTTAAAAATTACATACCTCAAGATAAATAATCTTGAACATACAAACGGTGACATTCGTGATCAAGTGCATATTAGAGTTCTGAAAATAACGAACCGGCATCTAATAATGCCACTTGTCTGACTTATACTCTACTTATTGTCGATTATTCCTTCGTCCAGGGTACGTTTATAGTGGCCACCATAGATAGTGGTGGGTAGGTGGTCTACCAGTATTTTTGCCGCCCCTCATGTATACACTTCGCAGCTGGTTCCTATGGGCGGAATTTAAATATGGTTAATGTGACAGATAGTCCACTCATATGACAACACTATGGAAGTTACCATAACTCAGTGTCCATAATATCGCCAGAAGAGGGTGATATGCTTGACCAGAGATTCTTTGCTTTAGGACAGGGCTACTCAATTACTACAGTATATGTGAAGGTTCAGTCACACAAATTTCCTGGGTGGCAAAGGTCCGGATAAAAGGCTTCATTTAAAATGACGTAATAACAAACAAATAATAGTTCACAACCTCACATTAGGATATAATTATGGTTACATGTATTTATAAACTCAAAATGTGTCGACAATGCAAAAGTAATCATTCATCCCCTTATCGAAGACGGACCCTGAGGGAATGAATAAAAAAGTAACTCTCTGTAACACAGTAAAACACTGCAGGTTTTCAATTAACTGGTTAATCACCATTACTGTGAAAAGTGACACGTTGCGCTTCGCATTTCCTTAAACTTTAGTACAAATGGTGTGTTAGTTTCACTAAGACAACAATGAAGGTGTTCATTGGTGATGAGAGATGATATTTGTTCTTCACTAAATCCATGGTGGATAAAGCAGACTCAGAACAGTAAGTGGGGCAAACATGGTGAGGATATAATACTGTTATTCTGAGGATCGCGGTCATACACTACTCCTGTATTAGCATTGTTGCTAATTCGTGTATTTCACGCTCGTTTTTTTTAAATCAAGTTGACTCATAAGGGATGGGTTGTGTTTCCCTTATGGTGAATTTTCACAGGAAATTAACGTAGAAAATCATTCAAAACACGTCGAAATATGCAGAGAAAACATAATTTCGCCCAAAAAGTCACGGTCGGTCCTAAATCGAATATTGACCCAAAACTTTTATCCAGCCTAATATTTTCGACAATACATTATTCGGTTCACTTTATATATCCTATTGATACTCTGATGTTAACTAGCAATACTGAAGAGTAGATCGTTTCCAATACTAAGTGTATTAAAGAAAGAGCTCATAAAAACTAATGAACAGTCAACATTGACAAAAGTAGGTTTACTATTCACCACTCTGGCTCCTTGGGAAATCTACTCCCTGTGTTGTTGGAACAAGTTATATATATGCCCAGTAACTGTATCTCATGGTAGATGGTAAAGTAATGTGCACAAGACAATAAAGAACAATGCATTCACTGAAATGTGTGTCTCCCTCCCTATAATCTTTACCTCCTATAGTATAGAATTCTTGGCTTCGCCTATCTATATTAGAATTTTGCATAAATCGAGCTTACTATTCAGTGCTGTGGTCGCTCTGCAAGACATATCTAGTAAACGGCAGATCACCAGGATTTTGTGAAGTTTCGAAATTCCCACAATCTTCTACCAGTCTGGTTAACAAAAGTGGATAAATTTCAGATCGTATTGCTTTACCATGTCGGGTTTATTGCACGGAAACGTTTACCACATTTCATCGGTATTGAGTAAATCGGAAAATATCTACGCGCCGAGGGGTACATTCTCAACTGTATTTACAGAGCTGAATGGCCATTGACTCCAAGTGCTTGGCTTTGAGCCTTAAATCCACAAATCAGTCAATCATTCAGCTGAGTTGTATTTTCTTATTGAGACAAAAACTAAGACTTCTACAGATTAAGGGTTTCAAGACGACGTAAGTAGATATGACTTGTTATCTGACCTTTGAGATAATGTAATCTATACCTGAGCTCATTGATCACTTATTTACCATTTATTATAATGCTATCACTGTGCTTCAACGAGCAACGTTAGTAACACCAGTCCAACTACATTAAAAATTATGAGAGATAGAACTATTATTTGACCGCAGCTGTGACTTATAAGACACCTGGTTGTGACACGAATCCTTATACGATATATTTACCCTTGTTTAATTGTAATTGTTGATTAGTGTACGTGGTGAAAAAACATGCAGTACGGTGTTGAAGCACAGATACATACAAACAAGAAGTAATTGGCATACTCCCCTCACCTCTTCATGTCCTGAGAGACACGATACCCACCAGGAGTGTACTACCGTTAACAACGATCTCACAATCACATTCCATGTATTTACAAGGTTCCTTCACCACTACACAATATCTAACCCATGGGTGCATTTAAAGCTTCCCAGTGAACCCTTCTTTTATGAGGACAGACTCTGTCCTCTGCCTTGCCAGTCACAACGTTGTTCACAATGGTTATAATCAGGTGAAACAAATAGAAAGAGACTGACAAAGGTGAAAATTATTGAAACAATAATATAACTCCTGTTCATCTCATGTTAATCTTGTTGGCGTATAATTACTTAACTGAAAAATAGTTAACTGTGTGAACTATTGCGTGGTTCTTTCACGGCTTCACGATCTTGTACATAGAGACTGGAAATTTTTATACATGCCGGTGAACCATGATCGCCATAACCATTCCTCTAACAGTGCTGTGCAAACTGCAATAGGCCGGTTGGCCTGTGCATGGCAGCTCCTGTCAAGAGTTACTACCACTCTATCATCCATGAATCTATCTAGCCTCCTTTTAACACTTTCCAGCGTTCCAACACTTACTACAAAGTTGCTAGGCTTGTTCCACTCGTCTTCCAACCAGTTCCTTCCTGTCTCCCCCCTAAACCTAAACTTATCCAACTTAATTCCGTTGCTACGAGTCCTATCCTGCTCGGATATTATAAGAACTTTATCTATATCTCATTTATTGATTCCTTTCACCCACTTAAATACTTCTATCATATCTCCCTGCACTCCTCGTCTTTCTAGGTAATGCAAGTTTAGTTTCTTTAATCTATCTTGATATGGAAGGTTTCTAAGTCCCGGAATCATTTTCGTCAGTCTTCGCTGCACCGACTCCAGTGAATTGATATCCATTCTATAAAAAGGACACCAGAAGTGAACAGCAAAATCGAGGTGCGGCCTGACTAGTGCAAGATATAGTTGCAGTATGACCTCTGCACTCTTATTGCTTACACTTCTAGGTATAAAACCTAATACTCTGTTTGCCTTATTTCGAACACTAACGCACAGTTTTCTAGGCCTTAGGTCCGGGCTTACAAGTACCCTAAGTCTCTTTCACAAGTCGACTTCTCTAGGTTGATGTTGTTAAGGCTGTTTACATTGACAGGTATCTGTTCTTTCAATATTATTAGGGTGTGTCATACGGAGGCGAATTTTTTTTTTAGTTTGAAAAAATCGGCCCATGGTATTAATGATGTAGTTCTATGTGCAGAATCATGTGATATCTTCAGATTTGAAAAGTTCTAATTTTTTGCTAGGTAAATTTTAGCGAAATCTTATGAAAATTCAGTATTCCCACCCTTTTACCAACACCACTAAATAGCTTATTTAAAGTAAAGTAAGTGTATCAGGTTAATTTATTAGGATGAAAATGATCCAGAATAGTGAAACGAATGATCTTGACACATTTATTAAATTTAATATTCCTTTAGAAAACAAAATCATCAAATACAAAAAGCCGGTTTTACTACTACCTACGACCGGTGTTGCACACCATAAGAGAACATGTCTTTCTTGCTTCTGTTTCTACTCATCACCTCCCTGCTGACCACCTGAGCTCGGATGCCCAGCCTTCCCTCCTCTCCTGGCTGTACATGTGACTGCTGGCCTGCATCTTGCTGTACACAACACTCTATACTCTGGGTGTCGCGAGGGCCAGGCAGGGACATCTGTAAGGGTTGTCAGGAAAGCTCACGGCTTGAACATTGTGGTGAGGCTGCAGGTAAGAGGGGGCTCACTGCCAGCCTGGATGTTATCCAGATCTGTATGAGATCAGTGAAGTCTTGGCACCTATAGATTGACTGGGAGTCTTCCTGACCCTGAAGGAATCGTCACCAACTGATTCGTCGGCGCGGTCTCTCATAAGTCTCATATCAAGATCTTTTTGACTGCCTCTTCTCTCCTCCTCATCCCTTACTGCAGAGCATTGTCTGCCAGAACTGCCTCAGGATGGTATACCGGAAGATCTCCTCACAGTCTGCTCCACAATCTGAACAACCTTCCTTGGCTGACTCCTCAGAGCTCAAGCTGGAAAGAACATGCCTCGGACCTTCGGTGAACGATGACTTGACCTTGGTGTTGAACCAATTTGGCAAGTAGACACTCCACGATGAATTGGACAATAAGTCTCAGGTTGGCGAAGCTGGTTCCCTTTCAGTTTATGATGGGCGACCCAAATTCACAGAACCTGAGAGCCGTTGTGAGCCACCTAGAATGTGAGACTGGACCTATCTCTGCGGGTAAAGCAAGTCTATCAGGCATATGACCCCAGTTTGATGACACCATATCATGTAACCCATAGTACTGGTCAGTACTCAGGTCGTCAATGACGGTATGTGCAAGCTCAACGAGTGGAGGGCCTTTGTGATTTTTCAAAGCTCTGATTTATTTCTAACTCGGTGTAGAGTCCAGCATCTTGCCAAGAGGACCAGACCATCTGTTGTTTTGAAAAGAGTGCTTGCCATCAGCTCTGGATCCAGACCTGTCTGGTGGCAACTCGTTGGTGTGGAGGTCACAAACAATCGGGCAAGCTTCACCCAATCTTCCGC